GAGTCATAGTCCAGCACTCAGACCACTACACCACACAGCTTTATGGCTTTGAGCAAATGAGTTTAGAGTCACTCTTCCTTGTTTGGCCATGGAAACTCACTGGGTGGCCTTGGGAAAGTCACACTCTCTCACCCTCAGAGGAAAGGTGAGGAAGCCTCTCTGAACAAATCGTACACGAAAGCCTTGTGATAGGGTCGCCATAAATCAAGAATTGACTTGGAAGCATTCAACAACTTTTATTATAATACAGTAACTGAGTTTTAGCAATATTTTATTTTAATCTGTGCGGTGGACTGCTTTGGGTCCGGTCCCCTCCTGGACGGAAGTTGGGATATTAATTATAAAAATTAATGACAAAGAATACCTCCATCACTCCATTGGTACTCTGCTATTTGGAAGAAAATAACAAGAACCACCATCACAATTCTCTTCTTCCTCCTCCTTTATAAGTACCCTGCTTTTCTCCCAAAATTACGATTCAAGAAGGGATTATGTGCCTTCAAGTTGTTTCCAATTTATGGTGACCCCAAGGGGACCTTGGCTGCATCCGCATTGAAGAAATAATCCAGTTTGACACCACTTTAACTGCCATGGCTCAGTGCTATGGAATTCTGGGGATTATAGTTTGTTGGGGCACCAGAGCTGTGGATTATTATAAACAGGTTATTCCTGGAGTGTGGATGAAGACCATGTCATGTTATTTTCTTGGCAAGATTTGTTCAGATTTGCCTTTGCCTTCCAGTGAGGCTGAGAGAGTGTAACTTGCCCAGAGTCACCAAGTGGGTTTCCATGGCTGAGCAGGGATTCGAACCCAGGTCTCCCAGAATTCTAAGTCTACATTCAAACCACTACACTATGCTGGCTTTAGAGGAAGCTAAACCTGTTAAAACATAGCCTTCCGAAGCAAATAGGAGCCAACTGTTAGGATCAGAAAAGCCATTCAATGTTCCTACATCTGAAATGTCCATGAGGAGTGTTTTGATTTTTTTGCATGACAAAAAGAAACGTATTTATAGATCCAGGTAACTTTAACAGTTGCCACACTGTTTTAACCCTTTAAAACTTTCTACCCATCCTTGTTTTCACCCCTACTGATCAAGCTCTTATTTATTTACTTATTTATTTAAACCTAAAATAAAATCTTACATAAATTGACTTTCATACTCTTCACACAGTGTCTTTCATCCCTAACTTCCTGAGCTAACTGTGCTTGGTGCTTATACAAATTATTTGTACTGTTCCTTTACTACATACAAATACTTTTCTGATTCTGTCTTAAATAAAAGGATCATTTCAGATTCCTAGTGTGTATACAATCGTCTCTTGTAATCAATACAGAAAACCAATAATTGCCATTTCTCCCCACATATTACTTAGATATTTCATTACCTGTTCCCAGTTATTTAACAATTTCCCTAAACTTCCATATTTCCGCAGATATGTCGATTGATCTAATCCATCCATTTCTGATAGTTTTATTGACCAATCCTGCATTGAAGGAACTGAACTCTGAGCTAGTAAAATTCTAGCTGCCAAAGCTCTTCTTTTTATGTCCATCTTGGAAAACCTGAGAAAAAGAAAAGGCAAAGAGATTTGCCAGTGGCCATAGGAAAAATCTGTGGAGAGACAGAGATTTAAGGAGTTAAACCCTGAGATTTCCAAGGCCGGGTCATTCATTATCCCATTGAGCTAGACCTTGGGAGTAGCAGACTTTGCATTTAAGGTTTATAGGATTATTGTGTTTTTCTTCACTTGAGCTGTGTCCGCACTGCAGAATTAATGCAGTTTGACATTGCTTTAATAGCCATGTCTCAGTGCTGTGGAATTCTGGGAACTATAGTTTGTTGTGGCACCAGAGAAGAGCACCCATCTTCTCCCCATGGATACCAAAATCTCTGGATGCTCAAATCCCCTTAAAATACAATGGCATGTTAAAATGGTGTGCCTTATATAAGAGAGCCAGTGTAGTATAGTGGCTTGGGTGTCGGACTAGGACTCTGGAGATCAGGGTTCAAATCCCTGCTCAGCCATGGAAAACCACTGGGTGGCCTTGTGCAAAGGTCACACTCTCTCAGCCTCAGAGGAAGGCAATGGCAAACCCCCTCTGAACAAACCTTGCCAAGAAAACAACATGATAGGTTCACTTTAGGGTTGCCATAAGTCAGAAATGACTTGAAGGCACACAGCAACAGCAAGCCCTTCTATAAAATGGTCCCACGCATTTTGGATAAGGGAGACTCAAGCTCTGTGAATTGGCTTTTATGGTGTGAAGACTTTCAGTAGAACTTACTCCTTAAGAACTGTGGCCTTAAGGTTTGCGTTTTGGAATTTATATATATTTAAAATATTTTCAAGCTGTGAAGGGTTGAATCCATTGATTTAAAAAAAATCCATTGATATGGATATGGAAGGCATTTTTGTAGGTGAGGAACACAGGGCTAAGTTGAGTCAAAAAGAAAAAGGATACAACTTCGGCCATGACAGAAGTGATTTTAAAAAAATCACTTGCTTCTTATTAATCTATTGCATCATCATCATCATCATCATCATCATCATCATCTTGCCAATCTGATTCCAATAAACCAGAAATGTGTCCCTGGCATCCGACCTTCCACCTTCCTATCCATAGTCTGCAGCAATCTGGTTTTCTGTTGACTTCTATGAGACATATTAATTTACCAAACATCTGTAGAAACTGTCAGATCTTGACTAGGATTCCCAGATCCCCAGCCCTTTATCTGGAGGACACTGTGTCCTTTGGGGTTTCCGTCCAGCGGAAATAGCTGTCCTCAGTGTGGCCTAGAGATAAGTCTGACTCTGTGTTATCGGGGCAGACTCTTTGAAAGCAGCTTCCCTTTTCCTCCCTCCTCCTCCTTCTCTCCCCCTCCATCAATTGACGCACACCCCTGGGAAACAAATATTATTGTACGCTACCAGCTATTTGCTGCTCCTCCCATATCCTCTGGCTTTATTTAGAAATCTTCAGAAACTCTCACTGATAATCTTCTACCACCCATCACCCATCCATCCATGCAATACTTTTATATGATTATAGCTTTCAATGTCATGTCTGGCTGCCATAGTGAGGCTTCTCAGTAGCAGGTAGCAGTTATTATTTGATGAATAGATGGAATCATTTTTACCCTCATCTTCAGCCAGAAAGGACTCAATCGTGGCTTTGTTGTTGTTGTATGCCTCCAAGTCATTTCCGTTTCTTCAGATGGAGTATGCCATAGCCATTCTCTGAGGCTGAGAAAGTGTGACTTGCCCAAGTTTACCAGTGGATTGCCATGGCCAAACCGGGATTCAAACCCTTTTCTCCCATTCCTACGTTCAAATTATTACACCATGCTACCTATCATAGGGTTTTGTTGGCAAGTTTCTTCAGAGGGAGTTTGCCATTCTCTGAGACAGAGAGTGTGACTTGGCCAAGGTCACCCAGTGGGTCAGCATGGCCAAGCCAGGATTCAAATCCTGGTTTTCCAATGTCCCAGTCCAACATTCAAACCACTACACCACACTACTGATTATATACAATTTTTTTTAAAGAAAGAGATTTATATTATAATAAATCTCATTATTGCATTGTATTACTTTGCCCTGCCTTTCCCCCAAAGTTGGGACGTTTTGTTTAGTCTTGATGTCATTTCAGGCTGTAGAAGCTGGAAAGGAAAATAGTTGCCTGTTGGATTTATGAGTTTGAAAGTGGTGAGAGAACCACCACCTAGGAAGAGATCTTGGTTGGTTATGAAACTCCAAGCAGGAACTCCACGGCAAGCTGACACAACCTCTTTGAAACCTGCCCTGTGAAGATCCGTCCACAACATGCCCCTATGGTTTCTACAGTGTGTGTTACATAGGCTGGCTTGTGAGTTTTGGAACACACTTGGTGCATGAAGCATAGTCTGGGGGAAATCCCCAGTTTGCTTGCTGAGCCAGAGAGGCTTCTGTGTATACAGCTGGGAATCCTTGGACAAGCCTAGATGGTTCCCTTCAGGAAAGCCGGTCTCTGAGCAGATCAGGTGTGTGTTTGTTATCTGGCCTAAAATCTGAAATTAAAATCAGTAACGGGGGGAAATCAAAGAATGTGGAGGTGACTGAGCTTAAAATCTGTGCTCTTACTTTGTGGAAAAATAAACAACTTATAAGGCACTCTTCATGTGCTCACTGAAACCTAGAATACATATTTGCAAAAAGCACTGTCTTCCCATGACAAATGGAAAATGGATGGGGAAAGTGGATCCTCCAAACTCCAGTTTTCCATAAACTCCCCCAGTTCCCCATGTGATCTCCAAAGCCCCTCATTCCCACAAAAGCAATTTTAAAAAACTGCTAAGTTTGCTCTGACCTTCACCTAAAAACTGGCCAAAATGGCCTCAGACTTTGCACGAATGCAGTGCTTTGGAGTGTTGTTGTTATTGACTGATGCTGACCCTAAGTCAAAGCTATCGTGGGATTTTCTTGGACAGATTTGTTCAGAGGAGGTTTGCTATTGCCTTCCCCTGAGGCTGAGAGCATGTGACTGAGCAGGGAATCGAACTCTGGTCCCCAGAGTCATCCAGTGTTGCAACCACTGCAATGCACTGGTTCTCTTGGAAACTGCAGCAGGTCCAAAAGGTTGCAGCCAGAATGCTGACTGGGGCTGGACACAGGAAACATATAATTCCCTTGCTGGAACAACTTCACCGGCGACTTGTCCATTTCCAGCAGAGCAACAAACCACCTTTTCCAGAATTCCATACCACTGAGCCACAGCAGTTAAAGTGGTGTCAGACTGGATTATTTCTGCAGTGTGAATGCAGCCAAAATTTCTGGATTCCACTGCTTCAAGGATATTGTTTGTCTTGCAACACTGAACTGCTGACATGAAGCTTGTGCTTTCTAAGGAACTGGCTACTTCCCCCACTGTGATGGCTTACCTTGGATTTTTTTTAAAAAATAAAATAAAATTTTGCTGTTGCAATAACGTTGCATGTATGGTGTAATCCCGAGGCCACATTACAACAGAAGCCAACAAAAGAGGCCTTTTTAAAAATAGAAGCTGATATCATGGAGCAAAGGTCTATGGGATGCTGGGTGTTCTTTGCTATGGAACAAGAGACAAGAAAACTCCTGTCACACCCCACTCCTCAAAGAGGGGGAGAGATTTACTCTGGGGCAGAAAGTGGCGAGAGAGGCAAAGTCTAAACTGATCCTGGAAAAGAATGAAGCAATGGCCTTAACTTGCCCAACTTGTTTTTTATGTGAAAAACCTGATGGGCCACTCTTTTTCTGAATTGTTTGGTTTCCAATAAATAATAATACAGGACTGGGGTAATGCAAGCTGTATCAACTAGGCATACTTTGGATGTGTTTGGTTACAGTTTAGTATCAGACAGGATGATGGGCGCTGTAGTCCAACATCTGGGGCAGGTTCCCAATTTAACCAGGCTTGCAGATACTGTATATTCCACACCAGAGATTAGACACTTAATTATTTGATTCTGCTTTTCATATTAAAATTTTAATGTTTACCTTCTTTATATGTTCTTAATGTAGATCTCTCCTAGGAATATATTTTTCTGCGTTACTGAAATATAATGGCAAATTACCACATAGGAATAAATAATTACTTTTGCATTCCGGCCTGAGGTTTTGCTTCTCCTTGGTTGTTTAATTCTCTGGTGTTGCTTGTCTCCAAACACACCCTTGAGTTAACAGTGGTATCCTGTAAATTCAGGCCATCTAGGAAGAACACGGATTAAAATGTCTGCAGATGTATAGATTATTTCTTCTTCGTGGTCTCTGTGAATCACATAAATGGCTTTTGTCTGCGCATGCGCAGCCAGAACCCATTTGTGTGAATTCGCAGATGACCACTCGAAGAAATACTGTTACAGGTGTGCAACCTGTCCATATTGCAGGAGTATTATATATTCCATTCCTGGAAACTCACTGGTCCAGGAACCCCCATTTTGAGTAGCTCTGAGATAAAGCATGGATGTACACGGTACAGACTCTTTTTGCAGCCCATTCTGGGTGCTCCTCTGTCCTCCTCCAGTCAATGAGAATATGAATTTTTCCTTTCCAGGAAGCCTCCCAAGAACAACATTTTTTTTATTACAATAGGGCTTTGTGCACCACAACCCCTGCAACTTTTGACTTTCACCTAGCTTTGCCAGATTGAAAAATGGAGAGGGATCCTGTATCATCATCATCATCATTATCATATTTACATTTATTTGTAACCCACTTTCCCCCCAAAAAATTGAGACACAAAGTGGCTTACAAATTTAAAAAAACAATACAGTTAAAAACATACAGAAGTGGGCATTAAAATACAATTAAACTAGTTAAGTAAGTAACTTTATTGTTAATAACTAAAAGCCATCACAATTTGGTACAGATCAAACCAATGAATACAAAAACAATATATGAAAACAGGGCACAAAATGTATAAGAATTTATAAAGGAACTGTGAAAACTAGTTTAGTATTAAAACACAACAATCGTTAAGACAATGAAATGCAATTTAAAAAATAAAAGTGCTTAAAAACAGTACATATTAAAACAGGTAAAAATACTAAAACATTTAAAACAATAAAAATAAATAAAACTGTATAGAGACCCTTAAAAAACTTCAAATCCAGGACTACAGAGCATTAAGAGGCCAACCTCAACCATCTGTAAAGGCCAGGCAGCACAAAAAAGTTTTAACTTGCTCCCAGAGGGACAGCAAGGATGGGTCCATCCTGGCCTTTCTGGGGAGGGAGTTGCAAAGCCTGGGAGCAGCCACCAAGAAGGCCTTCTCCCTTGTTCCCACCAAGGGAGTCTGAGAAGGTGGTGGGACAGAGAGGAGGGCCTCTCCATATGATCTTAAAACCCTAATGAACTCATACAGGGAGATAGAAGCCCTTCAAATAGCCTGGACCCAAGCTGTACTTTTAGTGGTTCTGTAGAAGACAGAATTTCAGCAGGTTTTGCTTGTCACACAACCAGGTGACATGTAACAGGTGCTGAAATTCCTGTTTCTACACAACAATTAAAAATA